ACCACTCGACCGAGATACTGGTCAGCAAATACACACACGACTACTCCTTCATAATTCATGTACTTTGGGCAATCCTGGGTTTGTGTTTACAGTTTCCTGGTTTAGCCGCGTGTATACACTACATCTTGGGCAACCCGGACAGGACGGTTGAAGGAACGAGAGGAAACATTCAAGATTACAAATTTACAAACCTTGCAGACGACGTACTTAGCTAAGGTACACGACTGATAACGAGTGGGCCTGATATGATGAGCATTGAACACTGAGCACCAGGCAAGGTTAATCAGGATTTTACAGACTGTCTTGAGGTCGAAGACAGTCTAATTCTATCCAGACATTCTGCGAATTTGTCTGGTTCAATGTTGGTAGACACTCATCATTTTGCTTAAACAATTACGTGGAGCACAGTCCTTTTTGAAAGCCTAATAGTCACGTAATAAAAACGCCCCAGTCTTACATGAAACACGAACGTTTAACCATTTAAAATCCAGTGGTAACTATTTGTACCACATCCTTTAAAAATAACTCTACGTGTTACTTCCATAATGTATTTAATTTCATATAATTCTAAGAGCTAACAATAATTTCTCTAATAACAAGAACAGGCCTATGATATTTGCAACGGTGAAATGTTGTGTTTTCTTTGAGGTAAGAACTGAATTTTAAATTATTAATTGGAAGAACTTGGGCGTCAAAGACTACACACTGTATTTACAAGAGTCCACCACTGGGACCGAAGAAATATCTCTTAGAGCTCCATCTACACCTAGGTCTACCAAGTATCTCTCTGATCCCCAAGTTTTTCCAACTGAAATTTTGTGTTCTTCTGATGTCTCCTATTCGCTATATGTCCCGTCAATACAAGCCACCTTGATTTTCCCACTCGAACAATGTCCGGTGAACAGAACAAATTATGAAGCCCTTCGTTAGAAAACTCTCATTTTACGTCCAATGTATTTAATTCTGTCACGCTCAGAGTAAAGCACGTGTGACATGTGTTCTGTTCGAACCCAGGAGCTGACTTTGACAGACTGGCTAATCCTTCAAAGTCTCTCAAGAAATATCCAATAGCAGTGACCTTGACATTCCTCCAAACCGAAGCTAACCAACTCATTATCCTTATTCAACTTAACAATTCATCATATTCTCCTTAAGCAAAGTAGCAAAAATATGTTAAGACTAATCTATAGGCCATTTCCTGACATTATTATTACGCCTGTGAGCCGGGTAACTCAGATTAGTGACTGGCTATGGATTGGATGGTCGGGGTTTGATCCCCAACGGGGGCAAAAAGTACCTTATCCCTTTAAAGCCAAGTGGTACCACCTGCTTTATCAGTCATAAACTTTGCATTTCGTATTTGTGTGTGTGTATAATTCTCATTATAAACAGCTGTTATTTCCTAAACAGCGTTAACCAGTTGATCTACGTAATGGTGAAGTGTAGTGTTTTCTTCGCGGTACGGACTGAGTTCTTACGTAATATTTATACGAGCTTTGGCTTCAAAGGGTTAACCAGTTGATCTACGTAATGGTGAAGTTTAGTGTTTTCTTCGCGGTACGGACTGAATTCTTAAATGTTATTTAGACGAACTTCAGCTTCAAAGAGTTAAAAATGCCGAGACTGTTCTCTTCAGAATTATTTAAATAGTTAAAAATGCCAAGACTGTTCTCTTCAGAATTATTTAAATAAAACGGAAATCATCGCATCATCCGACGGTTAAAAAACCCTTCTGCAGTTGATATAACATCGTTATATAAAACACAGTCTATCAAATGCCGTCCAGGCATATTTGAGAGAACGCGGATTTTCCATTGTGTTCTCAGCATGTACCAGATATCGTATTCGCATCCCAACCTTCTGTTCAAAGCACTGGCCGTACCTCAAAATGGCCACTCTTAATCCGCTCATATAAAATAGTACACAGGCGGATGCTGTGGGTACGACACCAACAAACAATGAAGTCCGGCTGCTGACAAGCTACAGTGACCTAATGCCCCATTCAAAAACTCGTAACATGCAGTTCCAATTTATATTTTACTTTTCAAATTTCACCCACCCCAATTTCTTGTTATAATGGTACAGTACACACAAACCCCTTACATTATCCTTTTTAAAATCCTCTTAACTGCCTCTTCATACAGTACGCTAGCACACAATTTTCACAGCCACAGGTCATCATCATCATGATGACAGAGGGGGTATGAGGCGAGGGGATGACCGGTAACTCGCCACGAGCCCTAATTTACATACGAAATGGTCGTCAGAGCAATACATCGTCTACTCACTTGTCCGGTCTGAGGTCGTCGGATTATAACAGTGACTAATCTCACCATCCCAGCTGCACATATGACTCAACAAGGGAACAATCTGCAACCGGCAGCTTCTAGGAGCTTTCGCAACAAAAATGAGACCATTATCATCGCCTCGTATGTCTCTCTTCATGTGACAACTCGACAACAGCTGAACGGATTATCATGAAATTTGATACTGGGAAGTTTTATTAGAATCTGTCCATAAATTCAAAATTTCATTATAAATCGGACAAAAATAAAGAAACCTTTGAAGATCTACTTGCTTCCCGTTAACTAGTTGGGTAATCCCCATGGTATCCCAGTTGCTATGGTTACTCCATTGTTCTTAACAGCTTCTACGTACCGCATACTTTTCGTATTATATTAAAATGTTCCCGAAGAAAGACAATCACTTAATCTACAACTGAAAAATATCCACTCATCTTTTACGAAGTGAAAGAGAATACTTCGTTCCACAGGCATCGGTTTTCAGAAGAACGCCCAAAAAATCGACGTACTCCCAACTAACACTTCATCTAATACTTTACCTTGTTGAGAAGACCGCCTTTATAACCAGTTTGGTGACCAGCCAGGACATTGACTTGTGTTCTCAAATTTGTTACGACACTTAGTGAACGGTCAGAATGAAAGTCAGTCCGCTAAAGAACCTATTGCCCCCCACAGAGACATCTGCGGCCAACCCGCTTTACGTCTCGGCACGTCGCTTCCAGCAAGATCGGCTTATGTCTATCGATGAATTACGCGGAACAGAGTCGTTCTTATAAAGCTGACAGCCGCCCACACAGTCAAGATATCCTTCGCCTTACAAGACCCTGAGATTCACTGCCGTGTTCACAACAGCCCGTAACACCTAGGTCTCCCGAATGGTCACTTACCTTTAGGCTCTGCAAACAAAAGTGTGCATGAAATTCTCATCTACCCTCCAGAGATTTCAAACAAAGAAGCTGTACATTTTATTTTTAAAAAATTACAGAAATGCATTTATAGTACTGGCCGAACTGTGAGAAGATACTCTGTTGTCTTTTGTGCATTTTATAACTTGCAGATGCATTACACTGAATGAAAACCACATGCATTATTACCATGCAATTTTGAGGTTATGTGATTATTATTAGTACCACTGTTATAAATTTCAAACAAAATTTTATCCAGAATCCCTCTCAAAGTTAAAATTTTTCAACTTTCCTTTGGAATACGCTATTAGAAAGGTCAAAGTAAACCAGGTGGGACTGAAATTGAATGGGACACATCAGCTTCTGGTCTATGCTGACGTAAATCTATTGGGAGTCAGCATAAATACAATTACGAAAAACACAGAAACTCTAATTGATGGATTCATCAGGCACAGGATAGGGACCGGTGGCGGGCTTTTGTGAACACTGTTATGTACCTTCGGGTTCTGTAAAATTGTGAAAATTTCTTGAGTCTCTGAGCGACTGTTGGCTTCTCAGTAAGGACTCGGCTCCATGGTTTAAGTATTAGTGGTATTTTAATAATATAGCAACCCCACGGTATTGTGAAATTCATATATATGAAAAACTGAAAAGAATTTAAAGTAGCATCAACCTGTTTTTTTTTAATTCGTAGCATCGCGTCTTCCACTAGCCAGCAAATTCTTGATCTCATTACAATCATATGTAGCACACAACACAGAAAAAAAATTTCAAACAAACTCAGGAATCCATAATAAATGTACAAGATACAGATACAATCTTCATGTGCTAAAAACTAAACTCTGAAAATATCAAAAATGATTTTCTTATAATGGAATGAAGTTATTCAATAACCTTCTCCCCACTGTAAGAAGTCTGAATCACTAAAAGAGTGTCCCCTATCCCACTCTTACTCTACAGAAGAATTTACCTCAACCAAAATTCTCAGCTATTATAAAAACATGGAAGCAATAGTGGGTACACTTTGTTGTGTAATTATTTTGTGGTAATACTCTACTTGAATGTAAATTACTGTCAAAACTATATAATTTATAGTAGTAATAGAAATAAGTGTTGTATTTGTAGACTTTCTACACCCTTGGCTTGGGCCTATGAAGGATCTATGGAATGTAAATAAATTGTATTTTAGACCTGACCAAAAAGAACTTCATAGTCTTCCAAAATCTCCTAGAAAATAAACCAACATCATGGAGTAGATTTGTTCCTGCAAGTTAACATTTGTTCAGCTAGTCAAAAAAATCCCCCACCTTTTATAGAACCTAAAAATTCATTACTGTGTAAAACGTCGCCACTGGACAATACGTTATAAGCCAGAAGAATCCAATCAATATCCTCACATTCTTTCTCCTCAAGACCTAACTTAATTTCATCCTACCATGTACACATATGATATTTGAATTTTGGCTTTTCTGATTAAAATTTTGTACGTATTTCTTATATATTCCATATGTGCTTCATACATGTATTTGATCTGATTATTCTAATAATACACAGAATATTTAATAACATTATCCAATTCATTATGCTCTTGGGGTTTAAACATGATGGCCTGTTTTTAATAAAACATATTTATATCACATAGAGAATAAGATAAATGTGTACAAAATCAAAATATCTATATATTGATGGGAAAATATTATTAAAATTAATATTAAAAATGTGTTTCTGTATATAGATTGGATTCATTTGGCTCAAGGTAGGGACCACATCTGGGAGAAACAAAGAGACCTACCTGATGTAGGAAGACACTGTAGTCCCAGCAAATAAATATTTGAACATAAATATGTCGTCCATTACGATCGCACGGGTTGAACACAGATCTTCGTATTGGAAGCTTGTATGGGCGGCATTGTACAACTACACGTAAAATGATATCCTTCGACGTGGCACACCACACAATTAATTTAAAACAGAACTATACTTTGTCTATAAATTTTAAGGTAGTAACATATCACGTACAATCAGTCATATGATTGTGTGAGAAAAGGTTTCATACGCCCAACAAGAAGCCACAATTCCCACGCTACACCATCGAGAAAACAGATACAAGTAAACTTCCCTGTTCTCTTCTGACGAGACTTTAAAGATTATATTGGCACACTACATTACTAAAAATCACTTTCGTATTATTTATTGTAAGAATTATTAACACAAGCATTATTACCGCACTGTAAATTTTCACAAATCACCCCGAAACAAAAGCGATGTTTCGTGTCCACCATTATGAAACCGGAAACTGCTGACCGCCAGGTCGCTGCCAACTGAATTGTCACAGAGCAGCTAACATTCAGACTGTTCACTGCAAATGCCCAGTATAGCCAATACACTCCAAATAATAAATTATTATTTACTGCAGTTACTAAAAGTTAATGATTCTGATAGACAAAATGATATCCAATGTAATACATTACGACGAATATTTATGGATTAAGTAGTCCTTATTGCATGTGTCATATCCCTAATCATTATCACCATCTACTTTCAGGGATTGGGCCATTGACACGCTCCCGGGCAGTTGCTCAAGGCAACTTGTCATTTGTCCTTGAAGAGTGCATTTATGAGTAGTGACAAGCTCACTGCCTCCGCAGCACAATTTCTACTCAATCCTGATTTGTCTGCTAGTGCCATCTAGTCAGGAATCATGAGAGACAAGCGTGGGAAATTTCCGCTAAATTGTGCTCACGAAACATCTCGTTCATGCTAGTCTAGTCCACCGAGAGCTATCATGTCCCTAACGCATCTTAACAAACTTTTTTGTATTCCATTGTGAACTAACGATTAATTCGTTTCTTAACATCTGTAATTTTTTTTTATATAAAACACAAAACTGACCAGTTACATTAAACATTATTTTAAAAGCTTACAGTCGTCAGCTGGTCAATAAATCATTTTCTTTTATGAAATACAGAGGTTCTTTACCCACTATTGAACCCTGTATTGAGCAAGTTGAGTTTAGTCAACGCTTCTTCCATTTAAAAATTTTCCTTCCATCTACCACTAGATCACCCAAGTGTTCTTTTTCATTCAGATTCTCCTACTAAAAACGAATACACAGTTAGTAAAGAGTACAAATTATGAAACCTCTCATGACTTAATTTTATCAATTTTTGTATTTTTCCCTTTCTTACGTCTCATTTTCCTCGTATCTTTGTTATTAGACTCCGTTAAGCTATGGCTATAAATCAGTAACATTAACAGAAAACGAAACCCTTGCATCGCTCATTAAAATGATTAATTTACAATGTAACACAGTCTTGAACATCTCACCTTGAGCTCGTCTGCCTCTTACATTAAGATAGGTTAGTGTTATAAAACAGACCCGGTATAAAAAAAGAACCGGTCATGTTATATTCTAAAACGATGCGTGTTAGTACTGCAACCACAATCTTCTATTATAACCTTTCATGACCTACCCCATGTCACACCAGTTTAAAATATCAGACACCCTGACCAATTGGTCGATGACACATGTGGCAGACACGAAACGGACGAGAAGTACACACAATATTTCTGTCTAAAAACCCTGAATGAAAGAGACCATTTGGACAGCCTAGACGTAGATGGAAGGTTATTAATATTAAAATAAATTTTAAATAAATAGTATGTATTGGATTCTTCTGGCTTAAGATAGAGACCAGTGGCGGGTTGTTAGAAACACAGTAATTAACTTTCTGTTTCCATAAAATTCGGAGAATTCTTCAACCTTTATGATAAAACCGGAAGGTTCATCCTCGTTAGAACTGTTGGCCAACCAGAGATAGACAAAATTTAAAATTGCTTAGATTAAAAGATTGAGTCAAAAGAATTCACGGTTTTTATTACAAGTAAATAATGTTTGATCAAATAAGATCTTTAAGCACTTAGATCTACTTATAATATAACGACACTTTATTCAATGGGTACAGTTATAAATCATCGCGATATTTCGTGAGAGAGAAAAAATCTGCCGAGCTGCCAACTTAATAAAACATTAAGAACGAATAAAATGAGAATGTAAAGTGGAAAGCGTATTGTATAGTACCAACCTCAGCTCAGATAAATCTTAGTTGTCGTACTTAAGTTAAATGAACTTTTAACACCACAAATAAGTAATAAACAGACACCACCGATTATTTTGCTTTCTCTAAAATCGTGAAAGTTTAGCTTTGGTAATTCTATGTCTCTGATTACAGATGTTTCAGTAATTATAACTCCAGACAATGGGGAGTCTTGGATTATATAATTTAGACCCGCTCGATAAGAAAGAATTAAATAAATAATCGGTCTTCAAGTTTTGAAGAAAAGCGAGCAGATGTATCTTGCCATAATTATGTAGAAACATTATTGAAGAAACAGATTTCATGGTTTATTATGAGATTCAATGCACAAACGTTGTACTGAATTCAATACTTTAAGTAAGAATCCTACGTAAATGTATTTCCGGTTCAATGCCAAGTCCTCAGTGTTCTCTTGGGCTTTGTAACGACGTCATTAACTAACTGCATGGAACAGAGTCCTTCTTGAAAAGCTGATAATCTCTAAGCTAGCCACTAAACTCCCAAATTCTATTAAATCCGAAGTTTTAATACTACACATACAAAAATATTGAGGTTTTTCAATTGGCCTTTATGTTTAAGGTTTACCGATTTAAATTTTGCGTGTATTTCTCGTCTATCATGCGTGCTACATGTTCAGACCATTTTAACCTCTTATTGTAATGCCAAGCACTCGATTAATTCGGGGCACAGATTAAATTTTATCTACTGAATGATCATTTCTGTATTGTAGATTTATATTGGTACAGTGCCTTCAAACTGGTAATATGAGCGGAGGGGAAAATGTTCATAACTGGATGCATAAATCACGAGGAGAAAAAATAGGCTCTACTTGTCTACAGTAATTTTAACCTACGTTGCTTACAAGCTTCTGTATTATATAAAACATGGTTTTATGCTTTCTTCTACTCAATTTATATAGGAGAGTTCTTAGCGGAAAGCGTTTAAATAACCTAACACGTATTATTTTTACAATGTTGTCCTATACCGCCATGTTTTGTGGTGAAGAAGACGGAGACATGAAAGGGGTATAGGAAATGAATAAGTGAGAGAGAAATGGAGATAAAACACACAAATAAATGATAGAAATGAGAAAATAAATTGGGAGATACGAGGTGGAGGGGTTTGAGGTACGAAAAGATGAATGGGACAAGAAAAGACTTCGAGGTATGAAAACACGAAAGAACTTATTCTCCGTTGAATTTCAATAGGCTTCTCATGCTATTAGTTTTATGATTTTCTACGATAAACAGTCTCTCTCTTTCCTGGGCGATATCTCGATCTTAAAAGACAAATCCGTATTTTACACTGGACACAGAAGACAGGATTGAATTAATTCAACATTAAAGTTGTTTACAAGCTTGCTTATTCAACGCTTAGAAATATAAATTTTACGCCAACTTTCTAACAAACAGTACTATGAGTTTTCTAAGACACTTAACAAGTTGTAATTATATTAGTTTCCAACTGCAGTGAATTAAACATTTGATTCTGCTCCTATAGTAGTGTTGTGAAATCTGGAGTTTCTTTACTGCTAATTTTTATCAACTTTTACACAATTTACTATTCTAATCTTCTGTAACACGTGCTTTAACAACCAGTAACTGTGCATTTAATTAAGTGTCTTGGATGATTTTAAGTGTCAACTGTAATTGTTTTCCTGAACAGCGTCAACTTGTTAATCTTTGTAACGGTGAAGTGTAGTGTTTTCTTTGCGGTACGGACTGAATGATTAAATATTACGTAGATGAGCTTCGGCTTTAAATGGTTGATGGAATTGAGACAGAATTTATTTCTATAAAGCGAGCGATGGATAGTTTGGATAACAGCGTTGTGGAAATAACGATCTGGTCATGTCTGTGTACATCTTCTGGGTTGTAACTCCGTGATGTCTTGTAGGTAAATATACCATCTTTTCGGAGGAACATACTGCCTCGATACGGAGGTACAACCCAGAAGAACTCATGAACAAGCGCACAGCCGTGAGAATATCAAGATTCATATCACTGACCATGATAGCTTATTTTTAAGTTATAGCATTCTGATACTTCGTGGGCGACTTACTCAGCTTGATTTTGCAAAAACATGATTAAAGAAAAGACGGGTAAGTGTAAGATAAGAAATCTGGAAGAGTTAAGAAATAGAAGAATGTTTCTGTGGTGCAACACGTAGACGCTTCCAGCGTGTGTGAAGCAGTTCGACATGTCTCCATGTACTAAACACTGTATTTTAAAACGAATGGTGTTTCTGACGGAGGATTCATTATCTTTTTTATAGCCAGTGTTATTATATGGCACTTGGTGAAATCACGAGATACAAGAAGAAGTTCTCCAGACTGCCTAATCTCAGAACACTGTTCGATAATCCTTCGGTTGATTAAATAAAATGTCTTGTTCAATAAAGAGAAAATTTGTAAACGAGACCATTAGTTAGTAAATATTTCGATAACTCATCCTATATTACAAAAATGTAACGCTTTATTTAACTTGTTTTGTCATGATATAGCTATTAGATAAGTTTATCGGTTTTTCACTCCAGTTTTGCTGAAATAATAAGAGTGTTAACAAACGTCTTGCGTGTCAGAAACAAGTTCTGCAATATAAAATAATCCCTATCGCCATTTTTTCTGTGTCGTGAAGTTTGTTCTGGGGTTGTTGTCAGTCTTGGTCTGATAAAAACGAGAAACAACTTAACAACTGCTTTTTGGCAATAGCATTGTACAAAAGGCTTTGTCGTAACACATCTGTAAGAGACTACTATTTAATTATTGTAAATAAATCTTTACATTTACATTCCACACTCACGTTTAATAAACTTCGTAAATCATACAAAAATTAACAGAGAATTTTAGTCTCTTGGCAGATGCATGTTATAAGATTGTAAAAAGCAAATAATTATTTGTTGTTATTAGCATATGACATTTATAAAATCAAAATAACTTAACATCCGATATGTTTTTTTTTTATATAATATTAATCTCCGCAGCTCCTGTCAGTGATGTATGTACGAAACAGATCACAAGATGCAATAAACCATGTATGGTTGCCAAGCAACAGACAGCTGTGGACATATTTCGCCTCGGATATGAAATATGTTTCTGTTAGCAACAAGGAACATATAACATTTTACTCGATAGCAAAGAAAACTTATGAGATCTCAGTGTTAGTGTAATATGTTCAAAAGCGCGAATGGAATTAGACAGTTGAGTTTGACGAT